CGACGCAATAGGGGAGCGACCTCTCGGGACATGCGACATGATGATCTGCAAAGTAAATCAGGGGGTCAGATACAAAATTTTTTTAGTTAGGGTGACAAACTCTAACCCTAAAATTTTATCCCTTCTTTTTTATAGTTAAACCCCTCAGATCTCCAAATTCTACCCCCTGAAGGATGAGCTCGAGGCATCAAATCATAAACCCTAACCCTCATATGCAATCCCACTAATTCATGTACTAAATTAAACATGAAATATGCCAAAATTATGGAGGATTTACCTGAGGAAAAGCTCGAGGATCCAACAAAAGTCAGATCTTAAAAGAAGCTCAAACCACGTGCTCGAGGGGCCTGAGAAAAATTCTATATATGGAGATTTTTGAGGGATTTCTCAGTCAAAGATCAAAAGGAAGGATGAATCTAAGACAAATATGAAGATTTGAGGAAGAACGGATGCACGAGGGAAGAGAAAATCAAAAAAATGACAAGGGGGGGGGCGCCCTAGAGAGGAGAAAAAGGGGTCTTTTTATAGTTGAACCAGCCTTGAACCAGACCGGACCAGGTTGAACCAAATCAGACCAGTCCAAATCAGTTCAAAGAGGGCTGAACCAGGCCAGACCAGGCTGAACCAGGCCAAACCAGACTGAACCAGACCAGACCAGGATGAACCAGTCTGAACCAGACTTGAACTAGTTCTGAACCAGCCTTGAACCAGGTTGAACCAGTCTTGAACCAGGTTGAACCAGTTTGAACCAGATTTGAACCAGAATTCAAATTGAAGCTGAACCGAGCATCGAAATGACTTCAAATCGACCGAGGGTTCAGTCCTTTGTTTATTCTTTCCTCTCCCACACATTCGGAGGGGTCGGAAGATTTTTTGAGCCTAATTACTGCCTTTTTTGGGTCATTATCAGGCCGGTTCAGCTCATTATTAGGCCGGTTCGGCTCATTCAGACATGAAAATACTCCAATAAGGTATACGAGTATAAACTATTCCCTATTTTTGGTTGAGAAGTTTCTGGAGAATATTTTTCTAAAAATATTCTTAAGGATAACTCAACAACACTACGCCGAACAACGCGTCGCAAGTATGGACTCAGCGCCAACAATCGATGGTCAGTTCTATGTTGAACCAACAAACACGAGCTAAAGATCAGAAAATCAGGAATCGACTTCAAGTTCAAAATTCCGACAACGGTCAGACAATAAATGCAACATCGGAACCCTTACAGACATTCGACAAAGCACCGAATAGCCTGAAGGATTAAAGGAATCAAGAACAGAAGCCATTCCAAGGTCCCGTTACACAGACTGAAGGTTGGGACAATCATATCCAAAGTATTCCAGACTCTTCTATAAAAGAACGAGGCTGAAATACTTTGGAGGGGGTATCTGTAGGCGTATAAAACTGCCTATGGGTCCCTTAACACAGCTCGGCATGGTGATTCGACAAACCAATGAACCATCGGGTGACGTATCTAAACACGAGCGTTAGTCCACCAAATCGAAGCCAAGTGACACGCGACGAAGCGGATTAACGAGGCGGCGAGGTTAACGAATCGCACGCAGACAACGGAATACATCCACTCGCGTGCGGAATCAAGCTAACGGTTCGGTGAGTCAACGAGTCATCCAACTGTGGAACGGATTCAAACTCGAATACCGAAGCGGATTTACTGCTAAATCGGGATCCAGACTGCCAAATCAGAATCCAGATCAATAATAAAGCTCGGATAAACCGCGAAACCGGAAAACGGGCGCAAAACCAAACACCTGGAGGACTCGGCCGAAACCGAGCCACCTCTAGGTGGCTCCGTGGCCGAGCCACCTCTGGCTCAGCCATGGCCGAGCCACCTCCTAGGTGGCTCGGCCAAAACCGAGCCACCAGGAGGTGGCTCGGTGGCCGAGCCACCTAGGTGGCCGAGCCACCTGGGCTAAGCCCAGATCTGGGCCCAGATCTGAGCCCAGATCTGGTTCTAAATGCCTATAAATAGGCTTGATGGCTCATTGTTTTGGAGGTTGGAATTTTGGAGCCGAAACTCTGCTGGATTGAGAACTCACCCTCGGATTTTCAACTTAGAAGACTCAACTTTTCAGATCTGGTTCTTGGCGATCATCCACACCAAATAAGGCAGGACTTCGAGAGAGATCAGATCTGAGATCTACACGGTAATACTCCGGATCAAAGCTTGGCCTTTGATCCCGAGAAGAGTCTCGATTTCGCTTGGTCGATTTCGATTACTAAAGGCTATTATTTCCTTGGTGAAATAGTACCCCCGACTGTTATTTCCTTCGTGAAATAGCACCCGTCGTACCGTGTAGATCCGACCGGATCAAGATCGCGCGGTGGTCCACGGATTAACCCCAGCGCAGCACAAGCGAGAGACCGCAAAACAGGATCTCGCGATTCGTTCGACAAATAAGGAAAGTTGTAATTTTTATTTCTTTTTTGATCTCGTTGTAACCGGATCTTATAAAAAGACCGGATCTTTGTAATCAATAAACTGTTGACAAAGGAATCAATGGAATCAAAGAACGTAATTTTTCCCGCGAACAATTGTAAAGTTTTCGGTTAGCTAGAAAACCGAGTGTGTAGTGGAGATTTCCTCGAGGTGAGGAGCGGAGACGTAGGTCGTGGGGACCGAACTCCGTGAATGAAATTGTAAGGTGTAAACGTTATTCGGGTCAGCGTAGAAAACCCAGTTGTGATAGTGGATTTCTCTCCGGGAGTGGGGAGCGGAGACGTAGGACGGAAGGTCCGAACTCCATGATTATTTGCTTGTGTTTGAGTTTGCTTTGGCGTTTCATTTGTGCTTAGTGTTCATTACATTCTTGTCGCCATTGTCAATTGCCCTATCACATTTGTAGATTGTTTATTTCACCCTTGTGTTAGTTTATATATCATTGCATATATTTCATAGTATATCTCATTGCTAGGATATATTCATTTGTTCATATTGCTTATTATTGCTTATAACATATTGTATATCTATCTTGCAAGAAGAATAATTTATTAATAAGTTTTAATTGGCATAAAATAAGATTAGATTAACATAAGACCCTAATCACCCCCCTCTAGGGTCTAACAGACACAACTCTAGAATTGCTCAAGAAAAAGATAAATGTGAAGAATGATTGATCTTAACTCAATAAAAAAATAAAACAAAAAGAATAAAAGTTTTATTTTTGAATATTTTATATAGAATAAATTAAATTTTTGTGTAAAACCAGGAATCTTTAGAAATGATTTTCATGAACTTTTTTAAATATATTATATGGTTATGTAGATGCTTTTATCATATAAAATATACCAGAGTTAGCCTTAATCTTTAGTCAATGATTTTTTTCTGAAGTCTATCAATTAATTAGCAACAAACTTCATATTCTCTTTATTATTTTAGTGCACTTTTAATTTATCATCTTGGCTTTTTAGCTTTAATTATCCATTTTTCTTTTAACACACTACTTTTTTAAGTGTTTTTCACTTTTACAACATTATACTTTCAAACTTGGTTTTATGTCGGCCCAAATAACGTGAAAAATCAAATCAGCTTTAGATTATATTTGTTTCCTATCATTTTAATTATCAACATAAAAATTTAAACTTGGTATAGCCCATTCAAACAAACATCAAAGAAAATAAATAATCACAATGCTAAAATTTAAAGGCATAAGTGAGCAAAAACGATCAAAGTGGAACTAAGGAACAAATTTTAGTAAGGAAATACATTAAAAATATTTACTCATGATATTTAACCACGTGAATTGCACGTGCATAAAATCTAGTGGTTATAAAAATATAGCTTTAGGGCCTATTTGGATTTGTAAGGGGTGAAGGGAAGTTAATGGAAACTGAGAGAAGGGAAGGGAAGGGAGTTTCTTTCCCCTTGGTTACACCCCAATTTGGGGGGTAAAAAATTTTATACTATTAGGGGGTGAACCAAGGGGAACTAGGGTGAATTAACTTCACCTCCTAAGTGTTCCCAAATAAGGTGAATGGAGGTGAATGGTTCCCCTAACTTCCCTTCACCCTCATTCCCCTCAATCCAAACAAGCCCTTATGGTTGGGGCTGTTTTGTTTACTAAAAATGGGTGAAATCATGTGGAAATGCTTTGACACACTCACCAACGACAATAATTGGTAAAAATAGATTTCTAAAAGCAAGTTTAGTTCACCATAAACTCATTAGAAAGGGTTTCCAAAACGTCATGAAACGACAGAATTATAAAAAAAATTCAAATTTTTAGTTTTTTGCATGGAAAACATGGGATTTAATAGTAGAACATTAGGGAGTGGGGTTTTGAGAACGCGGAATTCAATGATACCTAGTTTTTAAAAGTAGCGTTTTATTTTCTTAAAATTCGAATGAAATTGTTGATTTATGGTACAACATGTTTACTTCCTTCTTCTCTTAAAAATAATATTTACACCCTTCATTTATGTTTGAAATAAATAAAAAATATACTTCCCAAAAGACGCACGAGAAGGGGGAAAGAAGGAAAATTTGACGTGGAAATGGGTTTAGGTTTACCATATTTTCGGGAAAGCAACTAGCTAAGCCCGGGACTCTCATAAAATAAAGCACAGCCCAAGCCTATGACTAAAGGAAAATGCATTGGGGACCATTTTTATGGGGCAGGGGGAGAGGACAGGTGAGGTGTTCCCTCCCCATTGGTTGACGCACTATTGTGTTAACTAATGGAGAGAGAACACCTCACCTGTCCCCTCCTCCTGTCCCATAAAAATGGTCCCTGTAGAACTACTCATGACTAAAACCCAACCAAACCGCCTTCTTCATCCACGTCAGATTGAGATACTTAATCCCTCCTCCAATAGCGGATCGGATATTCTTGCATTCTCAATCGAAATTCCCAATCCGTACCCGAAAATTTCCCCACCTCTCCCTACCGCCATCCTAGGGTTTCCTCCTCCTTTGTTCCTTCTCTCTTGGTTTTAGCCCGAGATTTCGAAGAAATTTTGAGGAGGAAGGAGGAGAAGCAGCCATGGGAGTTCCAGCGTTCTACCGGTGGCTAGCTAGCGGAGAAGTACCCGATGGTGGTGGTCGACGTCATAGAGGAAGAGGCCGTCGATATCGACGACGTCAAGATCCCTGTCGACACGTCGAAACCAAACCCTAACAAGCTCGAGTTTGACAATCTCTATCTCGACATGAACGGCATCATCCATCCTTGCTTTCACCCTGAAGATCGAGTAAGCACAAGCTCGCTCTTCGTCTCTCTGTGAAGTTTTAGCTGAAATATTTTATTTCTGTTTTTTAAATTCTTGAGAGGAAATTTATGATTCTGGTGACGGTTAAAGAATTTGGTTAGTTATACTAAACCAAGCTCCTGTCTTGTTGAAGAATGTTAAATACAAACTAGAGGGACTGTTACGTTAAATACAAAGTGCAAACTGTATTCATATTTTCTTCTACTTGTTCTAGAAATGTTCTTCCACACCCATATCTCAGTAAAACTTCAACTATATTATAGTACAGCTGGTTTAAAATTTGACCACAAAACCAAGTGTATGATTAAAAACAGATAACTCAAGAGGAGGAAAAAAAAAGAAAGAAAAGAAGCAGAAACCAATAACTCCATAATTTTAAACAGATTGTACAACAAGAGTCAGCACAAGCTAATAAAACCAACATTTGGAGTCGAGGAATTACCTTTATATCTTAAATGGAGAATCAGACTCAGTTCCCCCAATTTCTGATGACCATTCAGTGATTCCCAAAATCTGCTCAAATCATGGTTGCTGAACCAGAAAAATTGAGAATTAGAGAGAAAATTTAAACATCAATCAAGGTCGTTTAAATCAGTGGAGTTTTTTTTCCCTTGTGATCTCATCATCGTTAACACCAAAGACGAGATTATCAAACACTAGTCTGTCGACAAAGTTTTGGAGAGAGAAGGTCATTTCCTTTCTATCTAATTTATTGTATTTTTTGGGCTTATTTTGAGATAAGATGAGTTTTTCTGAGTTGAGGTTTTGAGAGAGAGGGAGGGATAATAAATCCCCCTTCTTCTTGAACATGGGTTAACTTGGGTAGCTGGAGCAGGTATCGGGTATTAACCATACCTAAGAGGACTTATTTCAGATTACTTAAAGATGACTTATTTAAAGCTAGCACTATTGCGCGTGCAAATGCACGTGTAACAGAAATTAAAACCTAAAAATTCTATTTTTTATATAAAATGAGTCACTTTCCTAAGGGATCATCAAAAATTTCAAGAGCATTTATGGTCTTCATTTAATAAGCCATATTTTATTTATCCTATTGGGAATTGGCTATGATAAGTATTTCAATTTGAGCTAATACATAATTTCCTTATGCAATATTTTTTAGAAGAGTCTATTTTTCATATTTCATTTAAGTTATTATTTTAATTATTTTTAGCCTAGGTATCTAGATATACACTTTTGATGATATTTAGATTGGAACATATTGAAATTCTAATTGTTATTTTTATGTATTTATTTATGTGCATTTTTTTGGAAAAGAACTTTATCATTTCATATTTATATCTCTTATAATATGCAATGTAATGGGTATATTATTAATAAGCTTTAATAATAAGCTTATGTCAACATTTTAGAAAGTTCTAGAAAAAAGAAAGGGAAAAGGAAAAAAGTTCTATAAAATTACAATTCTACCCTTTCAAATATAATAAGAATGGAGGACATGTCCACCTCTCATCCAATTTTGGCCTACTCCCACTATTTCCATTATATTGTAGTATAGATATCTTAGATTCCCACTATTTCTATTATATTCTAGTATAGATATCTTAGATTTGGGGGGCTTATCTGAAATATTTTAGATTTGGTTAACTAACATTATAACATAAGAGACTATAATGTGTGTATTTTATAAATATATATCTTTATGCTTTATAAATGTCTTCTTCACTGATTGTCTGCGGAAAACAAGCTAATAATTAGCTAGTCGTGGCAATTTACCACTTACAACTTAGATACATCCAGATTACTCATCAAGTGCAATATTGAAAATCATATGCTCTCTTGTGTTAGTGTGTATATCAGATTTAATCAATTAGCATGTGTATGTTCTTATTGGAACTGATGTCAACATGGAAACAAAGGTACATTTGTCTCCAAATTTTGAAAAGGTTATGCGCGTAATGAGCAAGTCTATTAAAGCTCATTATTAGGATGCAAAATCAATCATTGCTTCATGTACAAAAATTACGCAAAATGTTAGGTTAAATTTGTGTATGAATTTAAGGGAAGGAGAGTAATGGGATAGCTCTTTTGGCAAAGTTTATTTAATTATGCCTCTAAAGCTATTACTTTAAGGATAATCCATAGAAGTGTTCTAAAACACAGGCTACCCGACTGATTAATTGGCCGAGTACTCGTACTTAAGATTAAATCGTTCTGGGTATGCATTACCGGTATGCATTACCCACTCGATTATGCAGTCAAACACATAATTGGGTAGTTAATTGGTACCCGGTCGCATAATTACATTAAGCAGGCGGGTAATATACGGTACTGACACTTATTTTTAAGTTAAAAATACAACCTGTTTGCGTTTTTAAAACCCTACTCGTTTTGATCTTAATATCCCCTTTACTGTCCCGAGTCCAATCAAAACAACGCTTTAAGAAATACCCTGGACCCGTTCACTGCTTGAGAATAGACTCTTTGTACTTTATGAACTTTTTTAGTAGTTTTACTTTTACTTTTGAGTGTGTAACGACTTTAATTTAACTAGCTTGAGATATTATTTTTAGTATTTTGCTTGGGATGCTTTTATATTTTTCATGAATGATTATATTTTGTTATATGGTAAATAATATATATATTATAAATATTTTTAAAAAATGTGTAATGCCGCATAATCCGATTAATCGCTACTCGAGATCGCTACTCGAGATCAGACCGTATGCATAATGGAACTATGTTTTAGAACCTTGATCATAAGAGTCATGTTGATCTCGAAGGGCTTAATCAATAATGGATGTGAGTTATGTACCTTTGCCACTTCTTCTATTTGAGGGAGGAAGGTTAGGTCCTATAAGATGACTTCTTCTATTTCTAATGATGCACACCATTTGAGCAATTATGTTGTAGTGTAGTGATTTTACATCTAGTATATGTTGCTGCTAAAATAAGTAGATTAAGGTGGAGTCATATTGTTCATTTTGTTTTCCCCTATTATGCCCCATTTTTAACCGTTCTTGTAAAATGGAGTTGGCTATGGAGCATGATTTAATTGAGAACAATATTGAAGAATTGAGCAGGATCTTATGAGCGACCATCTACATGGTGCAAACCTATCAACGATTGAATTTAAGAAATGACATATTTATGAAGGATTTTTTTCATCTTAGAAATTGTACTTGATATGAAGGGGTCACTTATAATTTATGATTCGAACTTTGATACTCTCATTATTTTTAAGTAAACAACCTTTAGTTGAAAGCATTGCTTGCTATTAGGGGGAGTGTTAATTCATTTTTTCATGATCATCTTTTTGTTAATAAGATTTCAATAATGATTTTGCACAATGCTAGAATTATTCATTTGTTTCACTTGTCTATGTTTTAGCTCAGTATAGAAGATAATTAACAATTTATTGCATGGATGGTAGGAAATTCTGCCTTGTTGGCATACATAAAATTGGTAATAGCCAATTGCTTTGAGACATTCGTCCATTTAGGTTAGTATAGCACCCCACCTCTTACCCCCACCCCAAGCGCATACACGCCTTTCTTTACATTTCCCAGTGTTTTAAAAATAGACCGATTTTATCGATTTATCGTCGATATATAGGGTTTGGGCCATGTCGGATACAAGTTCTTTCGCATATTGTTTTTGCCTGATTTGTCACAATATATCGATGTAAATCCGATAATGCGACCGATTTCTCGTGGGTTAAAAATCACTCGATTTTATACAATTTACATTTTAAGTGAACTGGTTCAGATTTAGAGGCAGAAACCCGTTTTTTTCCATACCCAACTCGCATCTACTAAACAAAAACCATGCTATCCTATTCTATTTCACATCCGCTCGTTATGTAATCCTAATTCTCTCCGTCTCCATTGTTCTCTCCCCCAAATCCCTTGCAAATTTCTCCCTCGAAGAACTCTATCGATGACCTCTCTCAAAGATTCTCTCTTGATATTTCATTAAATGTGCTTAGATTACATTTTAGGACATTATGTTACATATGCTTACCATTCGATGTGACACTCCGATTTTTACTACTGATCCCCGATAACAGGGATCCGATATGAATTTTGGCTATGCGATATATTTTCGATAACCGATATTTAAAACCTTGACCTTTCCCCCTCTAGCTAGCGGGATGTAGTAAGTTGAGAGGTTTCCTTGTGAGTCTAACAGTTGAGAAGACAGCATGAACTTGCTGTTAACTGACGACATGTGATTGTTCTTCCATTTAATGGGGGGGGGGGGGGGGGGGATTACAGCGCATTTTCATATATACTAAGTATTGAAATATACTAGTACCAGTATTTTTTCTGCACGCCTTCATCTTGCGATTTGGAGTTACATTTAAATCATACTTATTATGGTAAGCCTCTAGTTCTCTTGTTCACACCTTCTTTCCTTTATGATTGATGACTGAGTCATTCTGTGTTTTACTTGTAATTTACTGTTGCTTATGCAAATTTACAGTTATAAATGAATTGCTGGTAGATACCTTATGCTAAAGAGCACATCAAATTGTGCTACTTGGTTTGTTGCAATTATTTTCTCTCCATAGGTATTGAATAGGAAATCATTATCAATTTAGAGGATCAATTCAATGTTTCCAGCTATTTTTTACTTAATTCTTTCATGGATTGTTCTCTATGTCCTGAAACTAATCCCATTTGCTAAAATGCTGTGATAAGATGCACCTAACACTATAGGGTTCTGTTTATCATATATTCTTCTGTAATTTGACAAAATTGTTTAGATAGCAGGATCATGTTACTTGGCTTTTCAACTGATTCTTATTTGATGCTTTCCAACAGCCAGCTCCGACAACTTTTGATGAGGTTTTCCAGTGCATGTTTGACTACATTGACAGGCTTTTTATCATGATACGACCTCGGAAGCTTTTATACATGGCGATTGGTGAGTTCATCTATTAGCCTTTTATATTTTTATTTATAGGATGATTGTTCATCTGCATAAATCTTCCTGTGATTGAAAAGTACATTGATTTTCTTATGCTCTCAATTATTCTTCATAGTTTTTGCATAATAAGCATCCTTGTCATAGTTATTTGAATAATTTGTATTTTATATGTTTTTTCCCTACTTTATCACGTTATGGTCCTAAACACTGTAGATGGTGTTGCACCAAGGGCCAAAATGAACCAGCAGCGTTCTAGACGTTTTAGAGCAGCTAAAGATGCAGCAGATGCGGTGGGTATAGCAATAAGTATTCTGTTCCGTACTATCTCATGTTTGCATTTAAGTATTTGGTGTATGATTTAATCACTCCTAAAGATGTAGTTAGCTCTGTTTGTTTGTTCTTGAACATCCATTTCTTTTCTTAGGCAGCAGAAGAGGAGCGGTTGCGGCAAGAGTTTGAGAGTGAAGGCCGAAAGCTTCCTCCGAAACAGGATTCACAAGTTTGTGACTCTAATGTCATTACTCCTGGGACTGAATTTATGGCTGTATTATCCACTGCATTGCAGTATTACATTCATCTGAGACTAAATTATGATCCTGGGTGGAGGCAGATTAAAGTATGAATCATGGAATTTTGTTTAATTGTTATTCTTATACCTTTTAGTTTTTTGTAACCGGTAGATTGAGCCATTGTTGAATTCCAACCAATTCTTTGATTTATTTCCTGAAGGTTATTCTTTCTGATGCAAACGTTCCTGGTGAAGGGGAGCACAAAATTATGTCATACATCCGACTACAACGAAATCTTCCTGGTTATAACCCTAATACTCGTCACTGTTTGTATGGTTTGGTAAGTGCTGACTTGGTTGTTAGTCTGTTTTACCTTTACTGGAAAGGAAAAGAATTCCATATTTATTCTATTTTATACTTTTATTTGTCTTTTCCTTTTTGTATGAGTTAATCTTTGCAATAAGATTTTCCTTCATGTTCCACTTGCATGCTTCTATCCAGATATTGATGTGTTTGTATGCCAGTCTGAGACTTTTTGACAAATTGGTAGTTATATATTTGAAATTTGAGGTGATGAAAAGTTGGTTATGGATTACATGTATTTTTCTTCAATTCATCTTGTGCTTTTCAACTATCTCAAGTCTCTTAATAGCTCTCCACTTAATTCCAAGAGAAATTAGTTCTAAGCAAATAGAGAATTTGTTTTAACTGTGTTTTATTCTCTTTTCTTCCTTCTATAGTTTTTTAAATTTTCTTAATGTTCATTTTTTCCCTTGTTGAATCTAGATGAAAAGATCAACTTCGTAAAAAGGTTAAGCATGCTTCTGTTGTAAATCTGTTATTGATTGCCTTGAAAGTGCTAAGTTTGTCCAGGAGCTCGGTGCCTAGAGCCCCTAGCTGCCTAATGGAAGCCCTTCTAGAAGTTGCACTTCCTAGGCAGTTGCCAAGGCTGCTTTTTACAACATTTTATATATGATCTGTTATTTACATGAGAGGGTGCTATTGTTCTTTCTCTACAAAGCACTGCCTGTTTGTCAAATTATCAATTCTTCCTGTGAACACTGTTCTTGGTGAACACTGTTCTTGTGCAGCCATGATAGTATATAGTGCTTTGCTCACTTAAAAATTTATGACATAGAGTTTCTTTAATTGATTAAAACATCTGTTTGCATAATGTTGATGGCCCACTGGAAGCCCACTTGGAGGTTGCACTGCCTAGACAGTTGCCAAGTCCACTTTTTACATCATTATATATGATCTGTTATACATTTGAAAGAGGATTGTTATTCTTCTCTTTTTCTGGCATCGCTTTCTCTTTGTAAAGCAATACCTCGTTGCATGTTGAATTATCATTTCCTTCTGTGAGCACTATTCTGTATGCTCAACCATGCTAGTGTAAACTAAAGTGCTCCATTTCAAAAACATAAATTTAGCGCACAGTTTCTTCAATCGCTTAAAGTGGTTATTTCTATGACGTTGATGGGCACACATCATCTTTCTTTTCATGATCACTGTTCCTGTTTTGTCAAATTTCTGTTCTTATTGAAGTTTATATTCTTCCTTATGTTTCCTGATTATCTTTCTTTCTTTCTTTATTATTATTATTATTATTATTATTATTATTATTATTTGTGCTTATGCAGGATGCTGACTTAATCATGTTAGCTTTGGCTACACATGAAGTGCATTTTTCGATATTGAGGGAGGTTAGTTTGTTTTTAATTTTTAATAGATGTTTCATGGCTGAAAGTATTATAGTCTGTGTCAAACACTTTTTCCCATTTATTTTTCTCCATATATTTTTTGGTATTTTATTTGGTTGCTCATTTTGTCCTTTCTTTAGTATGTGCACATGTTCCATCTTTTTCGAGCTCCCACCTTAGTTCTTGCTGAAAAAGGATGGAAATTTACTTGTCTTATATTTTTCTCCATGGCATCTTTTTGAGTTTTTCTTTCAACATTGATCTCTTACACTTATTTTTTTTAATTGTTAGGTTGTGTTCAATCCGAGCCAGCAGGATAAGTGCTTTCTGTGTGGACAATTGGGCCATTTAGCAGCAGACTGCCAAGGAAATGCAAAAAGGAAATCTGGTCAGTTTGATGAGAAAAGTGATGATGTGGCTGTTGCAAAAAAACCTTACCAGGTTTGCTTTGAAAGACTTAGTTTAATCATTGTATGCCTTTCATGTGTTTGCCATGTAAAAGCTTGATTCTTTTTTCTTCATTGTTTTGCAGTTTCTGCACATCTGGACTCTTCGAGAGTATCTAGAATACGAGTTTAGATTTCCTAATCCCCCTTTTGAGGTTGATTTTGAGCACATAGTTGATGATTTCATCTTCATGTGTTTCTTTGTCGGCAATGATTTCCTTCCTCATATGCCGACATTGGAAATTCGCGAGGTCTGTAATTGTTATCCATTTTTTACATTTAAAAATCTCCACCTAGGGCCCCAAATTTATTTAGTTTTATTGAGCTATTATTTTCTTTCAATGTTCGTTTTTCAAGCCTTGGTTGGAAGCTGATTGGAGGTAGGATTGTTTAGGAAATTTTCTTGGGTTGAGGTAACTTCAGTTATCTTAATTTTACCTACAAAAATCAATAGCAATATTTGAAATCTGATGTTAATGAAATTTATCTTATACCTCCATTCTTAAGCCAAAAAGCATCACAACTTGGAGTTTAGAAGTAGTGGGTCTATCAAAGGTCGATTTACATTCTATACCTCCATAGAAGTACCTCAAATTATTATTCATTTCGTGCCATATGGGGCCTAAGTTCCATATAGTTTATTTGTAGATTTCCCCTTAGATTGTTGGCCGATATTTTTTTGCAATTAATGTTTGACTGTGGTATAAAATTATTGTTATCTTTGTATTCTGTGGACAGGGTGCAATAAACTTGCTAATGACTGTCTATAAGAAGGAATTTAGGGCGATGGGTGGATATTTGACAAATGGATGCACGGTATCTTGTCTTCATTTTTCGTTAGTGCGCTTGTAATTATCTATATTTGATAAGTTCTTCTGCTAAAATTAACCACAGTTTTTTGTCTGGTTGTTCTGAGACTTCTCCTTGATTAGTTACATCTTTTCTTTTTCTGTGCTAGCTGAATTTGAGCAGAGTCGAACACTTTATTCAGGCAGTTGGGTCATATGAGGATAGGATATTTCAAAAAAGAGCCCGCTTGCACCAGGTCCGATTCTTGACGTTCTTCTTTCATATATATCCTTAGTAGTGTATTTAGATATTTCACTTGTATTTGGGTAGAATCACTTTTACTTCTCAGCGCATATTATGTAGGTTGTTAATTTTTATGACATAATATCAGGTCAAAAATGCTTCTTCATGCATAATACCAGTTTTGAAATTTTCAATATTTATAAATTCGACCGTGACACTTCTGAAATATTTGCATTAGTAATTATACATCCAACAAGTACCATGATACTCTATGTTGTGATTATTGTTTCCTTTTCTTATTCTCTACACCTCCGTGGAAAGTATATCGGTTTGCTCTCCTTCAGGGTTGCCTAGTGGCAATCATACTTTCAACCATTTCTATGCAATACAAACTAACCAAATGCGCCCCGAGGTTTACTTTTATTGCCATATTGTGAGTTATTCTGGAAAATGATATTCACACCTATACATAAACATGCACACTCGTGTGCACTCGCGGTTGCGGGTTCATTAGGGTGCATGTGTGGGTGAAAAGCGGGTGCGTTAGGGGGTGTGTATCTTATGAATAAGTGCTTAATTAGAACTCTTTTAGCTTAGTCTCTCTATAAGAGGTTTAGCTACGGGAAGCAAGTTGTATTTTCTCCCTTCGCTTCATTGTGGTAAAAACCTTTTTTTGATGTTTATTGCTCTTAATTAGATTTTAGTACAAATTGTTTTCGTGTTTTACAAATTCTTAATTTCTAATTTGCCCTGTTTACTGTCATGCCCCGGTCCCAAATTATAATAACTTGGAACGTGACATGGCCGGCAATGCAACCCTACGGTTACATTCACGTCTCTAGATTATCCTGTATACAGATATAAAGCCAACACTACACCATAGAGCATGTACTAAGATAACAAAGAAAATAAATAGATAAAAAATCTTTGAAAAGACTGAGTTCTACTACAAGAGTACAAGTCCACAACTATCCAAAGTAAGGGAAAAAATACATCATAGTCTGGAGAACCATAGGTGATTACAGGAAAAGTTACAATTAAATAATTAAATAACTACCTAAGACAAATAAAGTGGAGACTTGATAGAATAAACAGTGATCACTGCTGATGAGCCTACCCCTCGAAATACTCTCGATCCTGCGAAGAAAGACCGGTTCCCGAATCTGGAATGCGCAAACTCCAGGGGAGTCAAAAAACTCCTAACAAGCATGAAAAATGAAGGAATTATGCACATGCAAGTGTATGTGACAGGTATAAAGAAAAGATAAAATCTAAATTAAATGTGACTAAAAGAAATACTATTTGTAGATATTGCGAATACATTTATCACAGAGCATATAAGCACGTTATTCTTCTTTTTACATGTTATTTGCATTAGAGAAGAATAATATCATGTATATAAATCGGTTTCCCGTAACACGTTTCGGGAATACGGCTTCAAGTCATGTATTGGCTATATTGGCCCTTGTATTTATAATTCAAGATATCTGGAATACGCATGAGCCCGCTTATATACATTTCATATTATCCGTCTAATTCTCCTTTATTAAATCCCATATTTGTCTGTTTAATCTAAGTGACTGTGCATGAAATGTTGTGCACTAACCACAGAGTTTCTATGGAACGACTTTCGTAAAACTATGAAAAATAAACATAGTTCAGAACATGTCTTAACAATATAAATGCATCGTCTAGTCGATGCTCCAAAGTAATAGCCAAGGAAAACCTCATATCGGGTTATCGATATCGAGGGCATAGCCATGCTATGGAAAGCACGCTTATTAATTATATTTTTGACAGAAGTCGTCTTCATGCACAATCAATTCTATCGGATGTCACTAGGTGATCAACCACATGACATTAAAAGAAAGTCAAAAGATTTGAATTCGTGACCCATATGATAGCAACGAAGTCCATTAACCACTGTACCCAATATTTCTATTTGGTTGTAGTTTGAAAAAAAACAACTTATGTAACTAATAAATATTATCATCATTTATGGCAGAAGAAAAAAAGTAATTAGTTTATTTATCACTTAATGTAGTTATAATACACTTATTTAAGTACATTTTGCAGCATTAAGAATGCACTAAAACAACTAAAACATAGAGAAAACTATCACAGATAATTACTTCGATGCTAAAAGATTTATGGACTAACTTTAAAAACAAAAGAGTTGAATATCTACCTCAGATTTGTATAATATAAGTTTGCATATAAAAGCATTTACTTGTTAAATGATGGAAATAATTAAAGTAGTTAAAACATCTCGTATTACACATTATTTGCGTAAACCATATATATAATAGACAGAAGGCTCTGTTCATGTTTAAAAGTTATTATTGAAAATCATTGTTACAAAAAAAAAACTATTTACAGGTATATAGCGGTTTATATACACACTACACATCCAAGACCTCCAAAAACCTGAAATATAATAATTACACAAATGAGGAAAAAAAATATGTATGTATGACCGTATATAGCTGTATAGAGGAGTAAGAAACCAAAGGTAGAAATAGTTGGTTATAGAGTTTTATTTATTTATAGCTCATGCCATCAACGTTCTTGGAGTGACATAAACTTCAATTCTATTTATAGCTCATGCCATCTTCACCTATTTACAGCTCGTGCCATCTTCACCTAAATAATCTCTAACTTAAATCCAATGAAACAAGCCATTATACATTGATAAACATAAGTTACATAACTAATCTGTGATTTATTAATAGTGTGCTGAAAGATTAGAGAAACAATTTTAATACTAAGGATCAGGATCAAACGAATAGGATATGAAGTTGATTTAAAAGAATGAAACTTATAGGATTCGTAAAACAAGCAAGGAGATGAACACTTGGAACTAATGACACCGTGGCGGAAACTTCCATATATGTCGCACGTGTAACCGTCGGGATCGGAAACTAGCTAGTGCAGATCATTTGTAAATATAATCATAAAACTAAGGAGAGATACGAATCACAAAATCAGGTCATATCGTTGAAGTTTCTTAGAAATATCGATATGCAAAGGAACTACAAAAAGCCTCAATTAACCCTAAATCTCAATTAATCTTGGTTAGCAGCTCCCTATGGGGGAGAAGATCTCCCCAGGCCACGTGCCCGTTGTTGGCCAAGGTTCGAATCCTCGTGACTGCATTCACCTGGTTTCCTTTAGTCTTAGGGTGAGGATGGAAACCCGGGGTTTACTTGATCAGTAGCGGCTCGACCCGCTGTCTCTGGTTCGCGTCTCGCCCGGTCCACACACCGCTCGCCCACATGCTGGGGATGAGCCCTCTGGTACTTAAGAGGTATCTCCCTGCGGATTGTTGGGGACTAGGGGGATTCGAACCGGGATGCGGCGGACTCCAAAGGGAGTTTAAGTGGAGGTGCTGACCAGGGTTCCCTTGTCAACAAAAAAAAAACAAAAACAAAAGAAAAATAAAGAAAAGAGGAAAATGTTAGAAAGATGCTTACCAATTTACCTAGTAATGGCTCTGAACACCAACCAAGAAAAATCCCAAATCAAATGTCCTTCTCTCTTCAATTGTAACCGATGCCTTCTCTCCTTCTCTTTTTTTTTCCAGACGAGGTGTAGAGAATCGGTAGAGAAAAGAAAAGGTTTTGAAGGAGGGTTCATGAAATAGAGATAAGAGTAGTTAGAGATTTCCTAAGATTTGAGGGATTTAGTTTCCGATTTGTTTTTTTTTCCGGTAGTTTCCCCACTTTAGGATGTATTCCCGCAGTAAAGGATTTGAGCAGTTACTTTTGGGGAGTTTGGGTTTTTCTTGTTTTTTCTTTTTTTTCTTCCTTTAAAACTATCTGGGCTTTTAAAAAAAAATGTAGTAAGTAGATGGGCTTAGGAATCAGGCTTGCCATAAGAAAAATAATTGTGGGCCTTGGCTTAAGTATGCTTGGGTATTACATCTGACCTACCTAAAAAAAAGTATCCTCAAAATTTAAATTAAGACTGAAAAGAGACTTAGGTATTATTCATAGCAAAGAGATGTGGGTAGCGCTGACGAATCTTATCCTCTCACTTCCATGTCGCTTCACCAGGTCCATGGTGTACCTAAGATACCAATACTAGAGGGATAATATTATTCTTGAGGATCTTCTCTTGTCTGTCCAAAATCTTCATTGGTCGCTCCTCATATGATATGTTTGTCCAAATCTGAAGCTCTGTGATATTTAGGACGTGAGTCTCATCTCGCACATATCATCGAAGATGTGATACGTGGAACACATCATGCATTCCCTCTAAAGACGGAGGCAAAACGAGACGGTATGCCACCTCTTCTACTGTCCAATATCTCAAAAGGACCGATGTAACGTGGACTAAGCTTTTCGCGGCTGCCAAATTTGATCACTCTTCTGGTTGGGGATATCCTCAAAAAACATGCTCTTCAACCTAAAACTGTAAAGGTTTTCTCTTAGCATCATTCCAGTTCTTTTGTCTATCCTGAGCCGACCTAAGGCGCTCCCATATTGTCTTTATTTTGTCTACAGTCTGTACTATCATCTCAGGACCTAACAAACGCCGCTCTCCCAAGTCATCCCAACATGTAGGAGATCTACATTTTCTTCCATATAATGCCTCATAAGGTGCCATCTGGATGCTGGCCCGATAACTGTTATTATAAGAAAACTCCACCAAGTATAAATGGTCTTCCAAGAGCCTTTGAAATCCAACATGCATGCCCGTAATATGTCCTCCAGAATATGTATAGTCCTCTCTCATTGTCCATCTATCTGAGGGTGGTAAGCCGTGCTCTAACTCGGTTTAGTCCCAAGACACTATTGTAAGCTCCTCAAAAGTGATAAAAATCGTCTCTATCAGAAATAATGTTAACTGGTATCCCTACAAGCGTACTATCTCCCTCATGCACAACTCAACTAAACTCTCCGTCGTCTGTCCAACTCGAAATGGTATGAAGCGAGCCGACTTGGTGAGTTTGTATACTACTACCCATACTGCGTTGTTTCCCTTCTGGCTCCTCGGCAGAGTTGTGATAAA